TTTTATTCTTCTGAGTCTCTGGAGTTCTGGTGATAGGCAGTGACTGATTGTTATCATCTGATGAATGCTTTTGGGGACTCTCTGGTTCTCCGTTCATCTCAAGTCTTTCTTTGGCCTCGGTATTTGACAACGCAGTTACTCTGCGTTTGACTCTGCACATAGACGCTGTTGTGTTAGCGTTTGAGCAGCGGTTGTTCTCTATGTTCCACAGTCGTACCTAAATTATGAACAGACATGGAAGTCAAAAGAACAGTTCACAGACAAAATCAAAACCTTTTGCTTTATCAACATATCCAATGTTTTGTTACCGTGAAATCATCTGAAGCTGTTGCTACCTTCCCAATATCTGTTGTTGACCTGCGCAAGAGAGTAGGCACCAGTTTAGTTATTATTATGGTTCCTTTCTTTTAGTTGAATTGAGTGATTCACAAGAGAAAGAGTCTGTGTGAAGACTTATTACCAATCTACTGCGGTAACTTCAAAGTCATGGCCTTTCACGATTATAGGATCTACTTGAGGCTTGTTGACCTGAAATTGCAATGGTTCTTAAGTACAGATAACTCTTGAATCTTTCAAATGTCAAACTATGCGACGGAGGATTCTAACCTGCCATATGTAAGCGTTTCCATCGCTTGAACCGCTCAAAACGTATTCGGCATCAGGACTAATCATTGTCTGCAGAGCAAGATTTCAATGGTGAGTGAGCATATGAAAGATGATATAAACAAAAAATCAATTGCGTGTTTGAAGAGAAAAATTGTGAAGAAGGCGTTATTACCCTTACGAAAAAGGAATCTATTCGGCAACCAGAGAAAGATTGTACAGGTCCTTTGTCAAGTTGCAGCATATTGTATAGATAGATTCTGCAACAGATTGATGAAAAGGAGATAAGTGTTGGATGTTTAACAAGGCCAGTCAAAAAGAAAAGTTATGGAGTGTGAATCTTAAAGTTCTAACCTATTGTCCTTGCATGAAGCTGTGAGAAAGGTTCCACTTGAGTCCTGGGACAATGATACTATACCATGTGCTCTCTTTTCCTGGAACAAAAAAAAAAAAGAGAACAGGTTGCAGATTAATCTAGTTTCCATTGGAACCAGTCCGTGCCTAATTCACATTGAAACCATTCAGAAGAAGCATGTGATATCATCTGAGTTAGGAATAAGCAGTTTAGCTTACCTTAGTGTTTGTTGGATCTGATTGTGGAGATGCTTGAGCAAAAGGAACTTTCAGCTTTCTTGTATCCCAAAATTTTAAAGCACTAAGAGAACAGAAGAGAAAAATGTAAACACCATTGCTACAAGCTCTATGGAACAACATTACATTTCCATAAATCCAATAAATGTTGTGCAAGTACCTATCTGGTGCTCCAGCAGTGGCAATTGTGATCTCGTCTTTGAGATAAAGCACAGAGGTAATGCTTGATGAAGCAGCCTGTAAACACTGAAGCCGTAAGCTGAGAAGACAGGATAAAAAGATTGTAGAAGGGAAAAGTAAGGAATCAGCAGGACTAAAACCTTTCGACGTCTCATTCGCTTTGAAAGAGGAGACAAATGAGCTCCTTTAACCATGTCAGTAGAGCTGTGTGAAGGCCAGAACAACTATCAAGATGGTTTTAACGAAAAATATCCAAAAAAGATCTTCACAACTTAATTTAGAGGAGACTTACTTGATGCAAAACTCCTCTTTGTGAGAGCTACTTTTACATCTTAAATCCCATAACGCAAAACACCCATCTCTCGAACCAGAGACAAGAAGATCTACAAACAGCAAGAGTCAGCTATTTTGATGGAAAGGATCAATTAGTAAATCAGAAAGAGAAATTTGCAGTAAACAAACCAGAATTTGTTGGATGTGAACACATTGATTTCACAGTTCCTGTGTGCCCTATAAGGACTCCAGTACACTTATTCTCCTCAACATCCCATACTTTAATCTGCATCCACGTTAATAGACAAGCGCATATGAACATCAGAGTCATAATTTTGTCCTCACAATTTAAAAAAATTGAAGTCCCTACTTACAGTTTGATCACCAGAAGCAGTCAGAAGACAACTATCTCCCTGCAACAAATTTGCAGACAAGTGAACATCAAATGAGCTTCTCTTAATTCCAGAATGAATTAAATTTAGATATAGTTCAATGCGAAGCAAATGGGGTACCTTGATCCAAGAAATGTCAAAGACAGCATTATAATGGGCAACCCAGTCACGAAATCTGGCATTCTCTACAACACATGAAACAAACACAAATTAGTGTTTTATTCAACGCAGATCAATTAGTGTTATCATCGAGAAAAATGCAATTACCTGTATTCTCTTGGTGAGATGCAGAAGAGGCAAACTTCTTATTCGAATTGAACAAGCTCACATAACCATCTTCATCTGACACG